CGTTACAGCTGATAGAACAAGCTGTATCTGACAATACACAGTATCTTATTGCACGGTTTAAATAGACCACAGCAATTATCTCCTCAGAAGAGCACATAATATACTAAATTATGGCCTTCATAGTAGACTATATGTGAGGCAGGGTAAGAAGTAAAACCAAGAATTTACTGCAATTACAACTAAATATTCATAATTACACTTAGACTGATATTAAAATCAGCAATAAATACCACATCCTAATGGTGACTGTTTTCATAGCAAGTGAATATTCATAAGTTGAATGAAAGAGATATTAAAATTGACAAAAAGATCATGGCCCCCTGCTACAACAATGACTTATATATGTAACTGAACTAAAACTAAACCTGATATATAAGTCATCAAACAGGTTATGTCCTAATGGTGACCATTGCAATAATAGCTTCTAAACAATCAGAATTAGATTAAATTGATCTTAAATCAGTTGAATTCAAATTAATTAACAACAACAAAAGTGTGGTAACTACTGTAATAAAAGCTATTATATATTTATAAGTGGACTGAACTGATATTAAAACCAACTAAAACACAATGTCATGATGACCACTGCAATAACTATTAAAAATAACTAAAACTGATATTAAAATCAACAACAAAATGTCTTAATGGTGACCACTGTAACAGCTGTTAAATATTCCTAATTACATTCAAACTGATTAAAATCAACAAAAAAGGCTGCATTATTAAGGTGACTACTGTAAAAGCTAGGCTACTAAATATTCATAAGTGGACTGAACTGATATCAAAACCAACAAAAATTGCCACTGCAACAGCTATTAAATACTCATAATTAGATAAACTGATATTAAAATCAACAAAAAGAAAATGTCTTGATAATGACCACAGCAATCGCGGTCTACATATTCATAATTAGATTAAAACTGATCAGCAAAAATGACCAAGATCTGTAACTGCTGCCAAATCACAATATCTAGACTAAAAAGGATATTCAAATAATGAATACTAATTAAAATAACTGCTAAATAATCTATACCACTGTTAGCAGGTGAAAATAAAATGAATTAGGTTTGTAGTTGATCTGTTTAAACCAGCAATGGAATCTACTGAAGCAGTGGAAGTGCAGCTCACCTGTTCGGTGGCAGTAGGGCAGTAGTATACCAGTATCAGAGTACTGATAATATTAGTAGCGAGTCCCACTATGGTGATGAGGTTCGGCGCCATCCAGAGAGGCACTTTGCTCACCAGCCAGCACCAGAATCCCTGCATGAAGGGCTCCAGGAGGGACCGTCCCGCACTGCTGTACTGATGCTCCTCCAGCTTTTTCAACTGCTGTCGGGACAGACGGGCTAGGGGAAGCTCCATCAGCTTGGTCAGGAGCCCGGGGCCCTCTTCCGCACCTGGTGCGTTCAGGTCACAGGCCATGGAGAAACTGGTGTCAGAATCGGGTCGAACCCGGACAGGTCTCTTGTGTGAGCTCATGTTTCTCTGAGTGGGCGTGGTGACTGTTGAATTCACAATGAGATTGTGGGATTAGATCTATGGGAGCAAAGACAGCAGAATGCATAAATGATTTTCGAACACATGGAACAACTCTGACACTACTGAAAAAGTTGAATTTATAATTAATGTTTTTGTGGGGTTAATAGTTACTTAGTTAACTGCTATTTAGTAAATGATTTCCATACACTACAGTCAAGCTACACAGCAGTCTGGATGGAACAATCAACAAGTTAAATGTATCGCTCAAGAACAACCCAGAATTTTAAAGATCAAATGGGACGAGAACTGTTTTCTCCCAAAGAAACAAAATTAGCCACATATTCTATTTGAATAAAATTATATCCATGTATATGAACTGATATAAATATCGACACATTTAAATTTGATACATTTTAATCTTAAAATGATTCAAATTTAAATTACAGGCTATGAATATTTCATTATATTTAGCAGATGTTCAACCAGCGCTTTTATGCTTTATCAGATGCCTCTTAAAACATTTCTACGGTATAGAATTATAAGCAGTAATATATAAATGTGCGCATGTATAAGCTGATATTAAAATGAATTCATTTTATGAATCAGAATTACAGGCAGAATATTTAATTAAAGATTAGCACATATTCTACTGGTGGTTTTATCATTTATTTGACACCTTTTAAAATATTTGAATACAATTATAAGCAAATAGATACTTTATACAAATGTATATACTTCATATTAAGTTATACTTTAAAGCCTCTTGAAATATTATGCTGTCTACAACCTCAACTTTAAGGAGTAAAACAAAGAGAATGCTATTTTTGTAATTTAATAGGGTCTTCAGTCCCTTAAATATATACAATTTGATATAAATATTTCATGCATATAATATAACATATTATAAATGTGATATACTTACAATTATAGTTATATTAAAGACATTTTAGAGGCAGTGTGTGACTAATACAGTTCGGGTGGCCCACCAAAATACACCTGACCCTACAGAAGAGGGCAGTTGATGCACTGGGAACTAATGAAACAAAACCCTTAAACTATGGTATTGATCTGCGTTGTTCTATGGCGTACTTAGCAACTGAGTGTATTTAAGAGATGTATAACAGCCGTTCAAATCTGGAGGACGACGACAACTTGATAACAAACCGAGGAGTGACGTCTTCAGCTTGATAGCGATCTGTCAAACGTGGCAGGCATATGAGAAATGTGAAATAACGCATATCATTATATTAAACACATTTTAGAGGCAGCGTGATTAACGAAGTTGGTTTGTTATTAACAGAAACGTTACCTTCGTTTACGTGGTGAAAATGTCTTTTCTCCGCAGCGTTACACTGGAGATGCCAAAAGTTGAATTCTTAAATAAATTATAGATAAAATAAAATAAATGCCGGAACGAAGAAACGTACACGGAAACGGAGAAGACACGTAGGATGGTTAAACGACGGCAGGTTAAACAGCGTGGATGACAAGCAGAGGCGTGAAAAGCGCTTCAATAACGCAACGACAACGCCTTCCGGAAGTAGGCATTTCAGAATAAAAGTCAGCTACAAAACATAATAAAATACAACATCATGTAAATCACATTTATTTCTGCATTTATCAGATGTGTTTTAAGCTGGTTATTTAAATATGGAATAATAAAAGTCGTTAGCACTGCAATAAATACTGGTGCGGTTTCAGCAATGTGTACAAAACCTATAGCTTGAAATGAAATTATTACTAATAATAAATGTGACGGTACTTCTACCATTTTGGTTTAGGACCTGTGCTGATGATAATACTGCCGTTGTTGTTCTATTTGTTTATTTACACAAACACCCTTTTTCTTCTCTTAGAGCTCACTGTATCATTAGCAAACAGCGCAAGCTACACACCATCCCCTACTTTTTGGAACTGCATCCACTCAAATGAGTTTTAAATCAGTGTTTTAAGTTGTTTGAAGAAGTCCTGATTTTAAAAAAAAAGGTATATCTATGTTGTCAAAATATGAAAAAGTATTTGCACTACTCAAGTCTGAAGGGTACAGTTTTATTTTAGTATCGAGATCTTTAAACTATCACATATTTGTTTTGTTTTTGTTGAATTCGCCATTGTAATATTTTGTTTTAATTTTAGTTTTAGTACTACACACCATCCCCTACTTTTTGGAACTGCATCCACTCAAATGAGTTTTAAATCAGTGTTTTAAGTTGTTTGAAGAAGTCCTGATTTAAAAAAAAAGGTATATCTATGTTGTCAAAATATGAAAAAGTATTTGCACTACTCAAGTCTGAAGGGTACAGTTTTATTTTAGTATCGAGATCTTTAAACTATCACATATTTGTTTTGTTTTTGTTGAATTCGCCATTGTAATATTTTGTTTTAATTTTAGTTTTAGTAATTTTGTGTTTTGTCTATATTTATTTTTTATACATTTTTTTTTGCGTTATTTTAGTACATGCAGATAAACTAAACGAAAAATGTTGCCTTGTCAACTAGCTTAAATGATATTTAATGATTTTTAAAATGGTTTTAGTTAACTTTAATAACTTTGGAAGAGTCAAGATAATTTATAAATTTAAACTTTTTATACTTTCATTCTCACCCTCTTGGACAAAGCTGCCACAATCTCTACAGTCTAAAAACTCTTCTCTGATTTGACAAAGACAAGGAATCACAGTTTAAGTACTCTTAAAAACAAAGATCAAAACAGAAAGTCGGGAACCAGGATAAAAATGGAGAATTTTGTTGAATCATTCTTTATTTAGCAACCACTGAATTGAGAGGTGCCTACACTGAAAACATCAGCGGCGGATAAGTGGTATTCCCTATTTGTTATGACAAACTTGCTGTAAGTTATTACATTTTACAAATTTTGAGAAGGTTGGGAAGTTTTAAAAGCAAAGCACGAAGTTGGTGGACGGTTAACTTCCTTTCCACAAGGAAACATGATTTGGCACAAAAGCATTCTACAGATAAACAGATGAGAGAGACGGCAAAGAGAATATCGTGTAAAAAAAGGGACAGCGGTCATTGATAAACCAACAAAACTAACTGCTGACAATTCTCACATTCATTCACATACCCTTAAGATTTTTTCTCCCAGTGCATTTAATGCTTCTTTGACAATGTCTTAAACTTCAACTATTATACCTTCAAGAAATGGCAAGGTGATACAGAATAAAATGCTGGATCAGCCAATCAACAGAAACATACACTGTGCCAAGTACGGTAAACGGACCCCGAAAAAACAAGGTTATTTAAAGTGCAGATGAACCAGTCAGCCATGCTAGGAACGGAGTGATAAACTGTTGCAGAGTGTTTATGCATACAATTTAGAACAACTTGAAAAGAAGGATTTCAGTGGTACAACTAAAAAAAAAAGTGAGTATCAACTGATACAAGTCTGTACCCTTAACCTACAATGAAAAAGTAAATAAATAAAATCGATTCTAATAAAAAAATTCTAAAGCTTTCCTCAGAATCATTCATCAAGGTTTTTAATGATGAAAAACCTCCCCTTATTTTATCCTCTAGTGATTTGTAAGAATTACCCAACGCTTTATTTCACATGTGAAAGTAGGAAAGGTTTCTTCAGAATACTTCTGAATACTATCAAGAAGCCTACAGGACTCTTGTGTTTGTCGTTTCCCCGTGAGCATGTTCCAGGCTACAGCGCACGGGGCCGCTTGGGGTTAATCTGCTTGCTGGCTTGTTCCTCCTCTTGGAGAGTAGAACGGAATGACCTCACTTTATCTGATAACACGAGCAGACACACATCCATTAATAATCATTCCATCAGGGGAAAACTGAAAGGAAAAACATTCTAGAGGATGCATTACCTCGGAGCTCAAAAAGGATCTCAATCTTCTGGTCAAGAATCTGCTCAAGCTGAGAAGAGTATGAGTCCACGTCGTAGTCCACCTCCTCAGTCATCTCCAGGAGAACCTTCTCATCCTCAAGCCACCTGATAGACTCCTGTCAGCACATATAGTGTAAAAATCCTCATTAACAATTCCGTTTTTCAGTTTTGGGACTGAACCGTATCAGAGTACAAATGAAAGAACAGTTCAGGAAAAAAAAAGAAGCACAACAAACCAAACGCTGACATCAACTGGACTAAAAAGCTCTAGTATGAAAGTGACCTTAGAGGAATAAATACCTGAAACACAGCCCTGTGGTCCTCCAGAACCTGCTCTTCCATCTCCACCAGCTGAGACACTGCCTCGTGGAACGTAAAGAGCTGAGGGGAGACTTCCTCTTCCTGTCAATATTCAAACACAAGCTTTTAACCGACCTACAAGTCTTAATGGAGTTTGGTTCACAGTATCTAAAAGACAAATCGATTGCCGTTTCTCTTTCTTTCTTTTTTTTTAAAGAAATGAATACTTAATATTTAGCAAGGACGTATTAAAGTTATCAAGTGACATTTATAATACAATTTATATATGCAGACAGTAACACTTGGTCACAAATTACACTTCTAAAAAGTGTCTCTGAAGTAGGTGTCATTACTGTATCCTCGTGCATGCAGTTTAAAGCAGAGGAAGTACGAGGAACAGACGCGGATTTACATTCTGTTCACAGAGCAGTTTGAGGTCATCTCTCTGAGGGGAGTTGCCCAATTCCCATTCCTCATCCATGATGTCCAGCTGGTTGATGGAGTTGACATTGGGGCGGACTCCTTCCGTCACAGCAGTGGGATCCACGGTCAGCTCCTTCACTCTAAATTCACAGATTGACAGCATTTGTGATGATATTTTTAGAGCAATCGTGCTGACCTAAATGACACCATGCACAGGTCACAGGACTTAACTGGGGAGATGCTTGTTTTTGCTGTGACACTGTATACTCTTTACCTTATTTCAAAGGTTTTATGCTCTTAATAAGCATTTTGTGACAAAATCAAGCAGACATGATAATTCCCATCAGTGCAGCTGGGCATATAAATTGCAATACGGCTAACACAACTGTTTATGGTGTCATCTCATTTTTATTAATTATATACAGTGATTATGTGCATTGATATTCACAATATGAGATATTTCTAAAGGAGAAGTAAGAACAACAGCACCACAGATGTGCCAGACATTCCCAGGGTTAGAGAAATGAAATGGCAGCAGATCAGAGGGGAAATGAAAAATGTTTACACCAAAAGCACAACCATTAGTGGGAGACGTGAGTGCAGCCAATGTTTCTAATAAAAAGAAACAGACTGTGGTTATATACATTGCAGTGCATGAGTATTTCCATGCATTGGTTGCAAGCCAACGCGGGATGCTGCTCGTCTACTGAGCAGTGCTGGGGAAGCTACATTAAAGCTGATTGTCAAAACACTGTTCCTAACACTACAAGTTGCTAAAAAAAAAAAAAGAAAAAAAAAAAAAGAGTGAAGCTATTTAAGAAGGTAATATTGCTGGTGGTTAGGCTACTGTATGATGATTGAAATCACTTCAAATGATTAGTAAATAAACTGCAGAATGTTACATTTTCTAATGCACGCACGAATTGCATGTATTCTGACAGCGCTGCACGAGCTCGCAGCGCCAGGGTTCAAAGTGCAAAGCACGAGGAAAATCTGCACTGAAACACTGTTACTTGTCAGTTGCTCAGTAACATTTTTTGTGACATTTTTTTAAAGGCAAGTGACAATGCGATACATGCGACAAACATCTTCCCAAATTCGTAATGAGAATCATTTATAAATCTGCATGCTGTTGTCAACAAAAAGAAACACTGAGATCTTCCTGCAGGTTTCTGCCAAAATAAAAGCCGAGAAAAAGCAACAACTCCATCAACATTCATAAATGTTAGCATTGTAATTTTACTGTTGTTCTGTAAAATAAAAGAAAAAAATAAGACAATAATAATTACCCTACAACAGCTCTATTAATACATTTATTATAACATTCTCACATAGTGTTCAAATTGGGATCTGTAATATATTCTAATGTTTTAAAAGAATTCTCTTCTGCTCAGCAAGGCTGCTTTTATTTGTACAGTAAAAAAATACATGCCTGATTCAAGTCTCAAAAATGGCCAAAAAATATTATTTTACTATTTTATTCATTTTAAATTAAATTGTGCTTTGTTGGTATAATGTCTGCTAGAATGTAAAAAAAAATGTTCAGTGTTAAGTAAATAGTTTTAATTTGTTGTTTTGTAATTTATTTTTTTATTTGAAAACCAGGACAAAACAAGGCAAAAAAAAAGGCAAAATAGGCCTACATGGGGGGAAAAATGCGAAAAACCGTGTTCGGTATTCGCCCCAGTGTTTCATTTTATTTGGCTTCGGCCAAGAATTTTCATTTCGGTGCATCCCTAATTTAAACAACTCAATTGAAAACATGAATAAATAGCATAGAACAAAATATATGGATAAAAACAAGGTGTAAAATTATGCAGACATTACAAGTGAATTAGTAATCATTCTTTTGAAGTAGTTCACTGAAAGTAATCTAAGGTTGAGATGTCACACAACCTTAAGGTTCTAAGGTTCTCTGGTTCTCATAACAAATTTTAGTAGTCGATCCCAAATAAGTGAAATGTGACAATACTCAATGCCATTTTTGAAGGAGTGATACTTTTGACATCTACTCACAATAAAGTGATTTGCTAAAATGAAATGTCACAAAGATTTCTTCTAGCTGATGTATGATAAAAACATTGACAGCCAATCAGAATCCACCCTGCTTAAAGTTTGAGCATTAAAGTGGCAGACGACAGAACAGCAGTGCATGCTTATAATAAACAGAACGTTATCATGCGTTGTTGTGGACGCTAATATAGTTATCATTATTGTTCTTGGTGTGAATAGGGCATAAGACTCTACAGTGTAGTTTCACTACAGTGTACAGTTTCACTGCTTGTTGAGAGGGGGAAAATGCTTGTTCATGAAAAAGCTCGATTTTGAAAAGAGTTTGGCTACTATTACGCTACTAAAAAATGTTCTATCACTAGTTTTAGTTAGTCCCCAACACTGCTGCAGTGTATCTGACTAAAAATAAGGTGGGAAGCTGCATAGACATGTGCTCATACTCATAGGTAGGAGAGGGTTCAGAGCGACTTCCTCCCCCCTGAGAGAAGGGGATGTCAGAGGGGCTAATCCCAAACTCCTTTACTCTGAAGACAGTCAAGACAGAACAGAGAAAAACAGCAAGTCAGAGAGAAGAGCACAGCCAATCAGGAAAGATGTACAGTTACACCACTTTTTCCCCATTGGCACTTGCATTAGTAAATACAACAACATTACTGAGATTTTTTTTTTTTTTTTAAACATTGGAGGCAAAAATCTGAGAGTGGTATTTAAAATCTCTTCAAAAGGAAAAAATAGTTCTACTCAACTTCTGTTTTCATAAAAGCACAACGCAGCGCCATGTCCTCACCTGTTGGCATATCTCAGAGTGTTCAGCGTGTTCTCACAGGAGGCCATGCCAGGAGAAATGGTGGCGATCTATGCAGACAACAGTCACAATTACAGCTGTGCAACAGGCAAAGGTAAACTTAGCCAAATCCTAATGTTGGAGAAAGCGTGCTTAATCAAACTTACCATGCATGTCCTGGAGTTCTCACCGATGAATGAGTCTCTGAGGACCTGTGTGAGCTTGCTCGCTCTGAATGGAGTGTGAGGCTTATTACGGCCCAGAGCCCTGATACATTCCTAATACATGGGACATACAAGATCACAGTGATTAACTAGGAAAATTCAAAATGGCACTTCATGAACAAATGGTTGACGACCCCTGCTCTTGGGTAGGGGTGTACTATATTGACAAAAAATAATATCTTAATATTTTCTTGGATTTTATCGATAACGATACTTAGACGATATTTTGCTGAGTGGGTTACTGTGCTGGTATCTTAAGGACTACCGTGGACAGCTGACTCCTAAAGTTTTTTATATTCTTCATATTCTGTGTGGTGGTCAGTTCACACGGATAGAAATGAATCTTTTCCAATAAGTTTAAACTGATCTTTACCTTTTATGGGCATTTTTACCTTTAAAAAAGCAATTTTTTCTAAAAGTGTAAATTATCTTTTGAGTCAAATTCTTAGATTTAATCAGTGAATTAGAATATTAAGACATTTGGGCTGTTACCAAGCAAATTAAATCAGTATCAATAAAATTCCTCTTTGCAATGCAGAGGAAACACTGAAGCTGTCACACACACACACACACACACACACACACACACACACACACACACACGGTCTCTCCGTACAACAGTTTGTTTTTTAAATGTCCTGATTTTTTAACAGATGTAAACAATGGCAGGAGGCTTAAAAGTATAGACGTGATACCAGCTTAATTTAATTATTGTACTAAATCGCAGACAAGTACAGTACGTACTTTAGACTGCTATTCCTCACTCTGTGAAGTAACGTGAGGGAGGAAACTAGTTGACGTTAGCTAGTTAATTAGCCATGTTATCTGACTCGGTAGCAAGCCAAATAGCATTTCAACACTGAAACAAACGGCGGGTGGGTCTCTGTCTTGATCGGGGGTGAAAGAGGGAGAAATGAAGATGACACAGATATATAGTTTATGTTCGACCAGGAAGTATTTATTTAGCGATCGGAGCGTCATCTGTATGGAACACTGTTGTGTACGGAACATGGTTAGTCTACATTACCCGAAAAATTCCCATACGACAGACTTCGTCTTTTTCGACGGGGGAAAAAGTTCCAGGGATTCATCTCCTTCGGCCATCCTACACACAGGTGACTCTCACTGACTGCTCGCACCAACCGGAGGGGCTGAGGGGGAGGGGTCGTGTGACTTGTTATGCTCTTCGCTGCACACAACTGAGGGAGTCCTGCACTTTCCGTCTTTGACGACACGTAAAAAAACTGCGCATTCCGCAGGAACGGTATAACGGGAAATTTTTGTGGTTTTGAAACCGTGATTTTTCCAAACCGCGGTATACCCTGAAACCGGTTATTGTCCCATGCCTAATTTACACACTACTGTTTAGTGCAGAACATGAATGCATTTAACCTGCAATTACAAATGCATAAATAATGTTTTAATATATTAAACAAAATGTTGAATACTGATATTTGAAATTATTTAAATAATGAACGATACTTGGAAAGTGAAATTAAAACCGCCAGTAGGTGGCAGCAAATCACTGTTAATAAGTGAGTCATTGCGATTGAACCGAATCATTTAAACGGTTGATTCATACAGGAACGAAACACCGCCATGTTGCTCAGAGACACAAAACAGTGCAGTGGCTGTGTTTGCAATAATTTTTGTTGTCTATAATATGGCAATATGGTGTCTATAATGTAAGTCTCTTAATTAACTTCTTGTTTTTTGAACTGTTGTAAAAAATCGATATTAAGTTTGTAATCATTTTGGAGAAAAAAAACAGCACTCTTTGTGCGATATTGATTAACTATATGAGTTGATATGAATATATAAATTTTCTGTCCCCATATCTTGAATTTTGTGATCATTCTAAATGTATTTTAATTGAATCATGCAGTGACAGAACGCACTCTAAGTGCGAACGCGCACTAGTCTAGACTTCACGTAATGTGTGCGTGTACTCTGTAGGGGGGTTTTGAATGGTTTTTGCAAAATACTCGATAATGTCAAATTGCACATCGTTAAAACAACAATTATGATATTATCGCAGACGATATATATCGCACAGCCCTCCTCTTGGGTGGTGTTAAGATGCTGACCTTCAGAGCCAACAGACTCTTGTTGATTTCGGCTCCCTCCAAACGAGTCTGCCGATCAGCGCTGGATGTGTCCGCTCCACGTTCGTTACCCGCCAGATCAATAAGTGAGAATTTGCCGTGCATCTTGCCCTTCCTTCGTAGAATGATTTGGAAGACGGCGTGGCTACGGGATGAGTGGGCATTAGCTGAGGTCTGACCTGAGGTCCTAAAATGGAAGATAAGAAGGTGAAATTTAAGTCAGGAGTGTCTGATAATTGTGTGGACCAATTATAGATCAAAGATCATGAATCGTTAAGGAAAATATTATGAAATAAACAAATGCTAATAACTAGAGCAATATTCAGTGAACTTGTTTTATCCATTGGGTATTACCTGCAACTGTTCCCTATTTCAATAAGTTTGAGGACATCCTCGGTGCATTTGACCTCACGCTCCTGAAGCCCAACCACCTGCACCTGCTGCTTCCCATCTTCTAGCACACGTAGCTTAGTCTTACGATTCAACAGATCAAATACCTAAAGAAGAAAAAAAACTTTGAAAGACTTGTCCCATTTTTAAAATAGCCTTTAGCTATCAATTAGTCATAAATTTTCTAAAGCGCACCTCTTGATAATAAAAAAATAAATCAATGAAAGGAAATATTCTGTGAAATGAAACTGATCCAGTCACTTAGCAAATGAGCACAAATCTTCAAATGGTATTCACAACACGTTTTGAATGAACAAAAAGTGAGCCTAACTCAGAGCCACTTACCTTTCCACTGTAAATTTCAAAGAAAGTTGCGTAAACCTGAAGATCCAGCTTCTTATAATTTGGTTTCTTCAGCATGAGAAAAACATCTCGAGCTGTGTGTGGACAACATGTATTTGAATGAGTTTGCTTGAAAGAACAAGATTAAAGAAAATCTAGGACCCAATAAACATCAATTACCAGCTAATGCATAGATTCCTTTTGAACAATCCTGGTTCTTTCCTGAAAAATCTCCACCCATGGTCTAAAAAAACAAACCAATCGATGAGCTTTATGTCTTATTACACTAACATATGACAAATAAAAAATAAAGCTGTGGCCATTATCAGTACAAAAACTAGCAAACTGTACAAACAGTATTTTTTTTTTTTTTTAAATATCAATTAAATAAAAAATACTTCTTACATGTGTTTTTCCACTTCCTGTTTGGCCATAAGCAAAGCATGTGGCCATTCCTCTATCAAAGATTGTTTCCACAAGGGGTCTTGCAGTAAACCTGTGAAGAAAACGGTTATAAGATTTTTATCCTCCAACAGTGACTAATTCCCAACATCCTTTTTAGAGAAATATTCATGTTTAATGAACAACAAATGAAATCATCCTTACCTGTAAACCATTTCATTTGTTGTGCTGTCATCAAAGGCATAATCGAAGCGAAATGTTTGGTTCTCTAGGTATCGAGTCAGATCCACCTTCTGTTTTGGTTCATGAACCATGACAACATCTTTACTTGGAATAGTGATCACATCTAGGTCCTTTACTGTCAACTCTACAACACAAATGAGAAATAAATTACAACACACGTAAGGTAATAAAAAAAAAAAAAACATTTCTGAGTCATTACCTTTTTTATTGAGGGGTCGTTTCCTAACACAAACACATATTCTGTGCTCCTCAATCTGTCAAAAAAACGAATCACGTTTTACATCTCTTAATAAAATGTTTTACTTAACATCCAAGAATGAAGAATAAGATATTGCTAGTTATAATTTTTTCTTACTAATAATACATGATATTGATATTGATATTACATATTATTTTTTCTGTATTACTATTATCATCATTAAAAAGTGGATCTCAAATACATTAACATGACCATGTCTAGGTCGTATTCCCCTCCAAAGTTCAAATGGAGAAAAAATGTTGAATAAATAATCATTATAATAAAAATGAAATAATGAATAAAAAAAATTAACAACAATAATAATAAAATAATGTGGAAAAAATAATGATACATGATGGCTCATCATCATTTTGTTTTATTTATTTTATTTCATATTTTATTTTATGACCCAGACATTAATTCATCAATACCTACCAAATCTGTCGTGGTTAGCGGTCGATAGTCCAAACTTGCTCTGAAGTCTCGGATCATCTGCAGTATTTCATAGTTTGGAATTGTCGTATCAATTTCCTTTAAAACAAAACAAGCACATTCACAATAGGAACACCACCAGGTGAAATAATCTATTTGTCAAACCCACTACAATTAAAAGCTGAGAGACGAGGCAGAAAGATATAATGACAGAAAGATGAGAAGTCTTACCTGTGCTCGCTTTTCTCTCAGTTCCTGTTGCTGTATCCTGCGTCTCTCCCTCTTCTCCTGCAATTTTTCCACTTCCTTCACACAGTTCGACTTCCTCCTTGCTGTTAAGAGGGCAGAATGGTACACACGATTCCATTTTATCAAAGGCAAGAACCGTTTCCTCTCTTTCAGCCCATCCCCTCCCACTCTGTATCTCTCGCTAAAATAACAGTGTATGTGTCAGGGCTCTACAGTGCGAGCATTTGCAACTGAAAACTACTGCGTGCGACTATGAAGAAATATTTAGGAGCACCTGTGCGACTGACCCGATCAGCATATTTGTGTTTGCGCTGAGGGACCTTCAAAGGTTCTAATATACGTAACTGCAGCGTTGAGTAATACATCACAGACATATCCTCTCATTATAACAAACGAAGTGTTGACAGAGTGTAAAGAAGAGATTTATTGTGCAGTGTAGGGAGCTTCGTCGATTATAATAGAGTTTTGTGAGATCGCGATGAACTAAGATGAGTGACAGCTTTTAATGATTATTAAGGGAGTTTGCAAATGTGATATTGATTTAATACAACAGTTCATTAAACAAGAAGTTAATATTAAGTGACTTATATTGTCTGACAACAACACAATTGCCTTATTTTGCTCTATTTCGTCAACGAAAATAGTTTCAAACAAAGTAACAGCTGAGCCACTGCGCATCTCCATTCAAACACAGCGGTGTTTCGTTTATGAATGAACTGCATTTTTAAACGAATCTAGTGAGTCAATGATTCAATTACCCATTCATAAAAACAGTAACATACTTCGTTCCTGAATGAATCAGCCGTTTGAACGAATCAATTGAATGAATGATTCAGTGATAAAATCAGTGACTTGCCGCCACTTGCTGGCAGTTTTAGTTTAATTTTTAAAGCATCTTTTCTGTTATTTAAATCATTTCTATATTCAAAAT